GCCTGGCAGCGCCCCAGCCTGTCCCCACCTCTGCTGGGGGATGCTTGCCCATGCTGCCCTGCTCACCAGAGGACCTGTGCGGGCAGAGCGCACAGTTCTGACCCCAGGCTTCACCAAGCCGGCAGCAGCACTCGGTGTACGTGGTCCGCTCGCCATGCAGCAGGTCCTGGCAGATGTAGTCGGCGACGGTCTGCCAGCAGACATCCAGGTGGATTTCGTACTCCTCTAAGGCGTCTGTGAGGGACACAAGCAAAGGATGCCATGAAGATCACCCAGAAGAGTGCCACCCCACCTTGTCCTGAGAAGAATGACTGTGCGCCCTGGCACCTGTCCCCTGTCCCCGCTGCCCTGGCTGCACACTGTGCTGGTGCTGGCACACCCCAGCCAGACACAGACCCTCCACCCGCTGCTCCCTCCCGGGAGACCCAGCTGCAGGGCAGGGTGTTGGATGAAGGTGAACTGCTGTGGGGGCTTGGGCTCACCTGCCCTGCTGGAGAGGTTCACACACCGGTTGCCGGTGGCGTCCAGCACGAGAGGGAGGCTGCAGAAGCAGTGGTAGGACCCGTCCGTGTTCAGACACTCGCCGTTGATGCAGTACACTTCGTTCTGACACTCGTCCTGGTCTGCCCACACACAAGGACAGAGCAATGTTTCAGGCTGGCAGACATGGGCAATGCGACCCTTTCCCTGCCCAAACGAGGACCTTGGGGGCTCCTGCCACCCCCTCTCTTGTTCCCCAGGAGGGTCCTAGGAAGCCTGCCACCCAGACCTGGCCCTGTAGCGTGGGCAGCAGGGACAACCCTGGGTGCAGCAGCACAACCATCCCTCTGTGCACAGTGGGGTGCCCGCTGCTCTTTGAGGCCATCTTACCAACACACTCAAGCCTGCTGGAGTCATAGAAGTAGCCTGTACGGCAGAAGCACTTGTAGCCTGGCACCGTGTTCAAACACTGTCCGTTGCGGCAGAACTCAGAGCCAAATACCTCACACTCGTCCATGTCTGAGGGAGGGAGAGAGCGTCTCAGGGAGTAGAGCCATGGAAACAAGGTGGGCTGGGTGCTGTACCTGTAGAAAGCCAGCACGGCACCTTGGCCTGGGTCACTGGCAGGTCCCTGAGTGAGCGCCCCCCTGCTCCCATTGGCTCCATGCCTGGGAGCAGAGGGGGAAGCATCCACAGGTAGAGCAGGAGGAGGGATGACAGGGAACAGGATACTTTCATAAACAGAAAATTCATGTGTGTTTCTGGAAGGTTGAGAACAAAACGCCCTGGAGGTGAAGTGCCAAAAACTGAGCCAGCCAGCCTCTGGGAGATCGGACTGGTAACTGGAAGGGCTATGTTTTACTGGACCCCATCCCTGATTCAAAACGGGCATGCGAGATTTGCACCAAGAAAGAATCACTGCCATCAGCGAGACAGGACTGGAAGAAGGGGCACTTCCAGCTTGGTGATACTGGCAATCTGGGATTTCTCTGGTTGGAGAAAAGCAGCAGCAGGATGTTAGCATCCCCCATCACACCCCCAGGGAGATATTTCTGTGGATGCATCTCCATGCAGAGCTTTGCAAAGTGCCCTCCCTCTTCCCGCTGCAAGAAATGAGCGAAAATGGTGCTAGTACCTGTGAAAGAGACTTTTCCTGAGAGCAGATCTTCTTGGGGAATATAGCCCTTCCCAAGAGGGCAGATCTCTTGGTACTCCACTGGCCAGGAGGCAGATGTCAAGGGGAGATAGAAAGAATAGAAACAGCTAGTTAGTGCAACCAGTGTGGAGCTGGTGGGCAGAGCACTGGCCTTGCCTGGTGTGGTGGGGCCACAGTCCTACCTGTGCCTGGAATGGGGCAGGGGTAAGTCTCACAGTTGTCACCCCAGGCTGCCCCCACAGTACAGCAGCACTCCTCCTTGGTGATGTTCTTGGCCAGGACACTGTCACACAGGCGAACATCGCTGATGTGGTAGTAGCACTGCTTGCGCTCTGCGCTGTCAGAGAGGTGGGCTGCGTGTGTCTCAGGGCCCTCTAGAAGACAGCAGAGCAGGGACGGGATGGGGTCCTTGGCACCCCAGTGCAGCATCCCACACCTAGGAGGTCTCAGAGACACTCATCACCAGCAGTGTGGCCTTCCCAGGTCCCCACTTTCAGGCTCCTCACCTCTCCCCAGATAAAAGCATGTCCATGCCTCTGTGGGCTTGTACAGCCCTGGCAGCTCCTCAGCTTTATCTCATCCCAGCCAGGGCTACCACGCTCCTGCTCTAGCTGCCACCCTTGCTTCTGTCCTAGCTGCCTACTTACCCATGGCTGCTCGGGGCTGGCACTGCCCTGCCTCTGTGTTGTACTCCTCATGGTCACTGGGGCAGAGGCACAGGAAGGATCCCTCCACGTTCTCACAAAGCGCAGTCCCGCATACAGCGACCATCAGCTCACACTCATTCACATCTGCAAAGCAAGGGGCGGTGACAGGTGGTGGGACACCTGCCTCTGCATGGGCAGCCCGTGCGTGGTCTGCAGCATGAGGTCACCCTTCAGCGGGGAGATGGAAGCTGCTAGGGACGAGTGGAGAGCTCTGTTCACACCGTAGCTCAACACAAGTTTGGCAAGAGCTTCCTACCCTGCTCTCAGTGGATTCAAGGAGCCTAAATTCCAGCTTGCAGTGAGTCACTGGATCATAGGACCATCCAGGTTTGAAGGGATTGCTGAAGGTCTCTAGTCCAACCCCCTGCTCAAAGCAGGGTCAGTTATAGGATCTCACCAGGCTGCTCAAGGCTGTCTTGTTGGGGCTTTAAAACCTCCAAGGGTGGTGACTGCACAGCCATCTTGGGCCTCTGTTCTACTGTCTGCCTGTTTTCACGGTGAAAACATTTTTTTCCCTTATATTACACCCTGCCTGTTCTCTGCAGGCACCCATTAAAGTACCTCTCTATCACCTTCAGTGCCTCTAGCTCCTAAGCACCTCCTTTGCACCTGCACAGAGAAGGGCTCCATGTTCACCAGAAGCTGCTTGCCTTTTCACATAGACCCACTCCTTTGCAGTCCCGAGGAGCTGCTGTGCTAAGGGGAGTGGTTTTCCCTCCATGAACTGCCCTGTACATGTCTGGGATTCTCCATGCTCAGATGCTGTCCCCGTCCATGCTCTAGGAACAGTTACACATCAGGGACGCCAGCCTGGCATCCACCGATGGCTCTCCCTTACTGACTGGGAGAGTGATCACAGGAGACTCACCAACACAGTAGTGCCCAGAGGGCGAGCTCTCATAGCCACGGTCACACAGGCAGCGGAAGGAGCCATCTGAGTTCTCGCAGAAGCCATGGCTCCCGCACAGCGTTTCGTTGGCGCACTCATCTATGTCTGCAGTAGAGCAGAGAGCAGGAATTGCCCCAGGCCCCTCCTCTCCCAATTGATCCCCTCTGCCCAGGCCCTTCTGCTCTGACCCCAAGACCTTGGGTGTTATGTGAGGGACTGGGTCTGGCTGCCCCACTCACTCCCGTGCTATGAGTGTGCAAGTTAAGAAAAGCTTTCTGCAACATCCAGAGCTGCAAAGAGGCCACATGGATGGAGCGACAGGAGCAGGGTGGGAACAGGCAATGGATGGGAAGCATGGCAGGTGGCTGGCAGGGGTGACTGAAAGTAGCACAGGTCCCTGCAGAGGCATAAAGGGACACAAAGCCTGCAGGGTCACATCGGTAGGAGATACAAGGGTGCAACTGAAGTGTATGGGGCAAGTGCAGACAGATCTAGGATGATACCCTCCTGCCCCATTCTTCTCGACCTGATCCTTCTCCAACCGCTATAGCGCCAGGGAGTAATCTCTGCCTTACAGCAGCCCGGTGGGATTGGACGGTGACCACTGGCTCCTCTGCCTACAGAGGGCAGGTTTACAGCCCTGCTGACCGCATCCCACTCCCCTCCTACTGCTGCATGGGAGAGATTTCCCTGAAGCAGCCGGAGCAGCTGCGTGCCCACAGCCCACCGCTCGCAAGGCCAGAAGCAGCTCCACATGCTAAGTCTGAGTCCTGGAGCAGCCCAGAGCCCAGTGGCTGGCAGCAGACTCTCCTTGCTGCAGCCTTCCCCGAGCCAGAGGGAGACTTAAAAACTGCAGAAACCCCTTTGCTCTTTCCTCTTTGCTGGAGCCTGAACTCCAAACCCAGACTCCCCAGCCTAGCACACAGTGGTACTAGCAGCCTTTCCCCTCACCCAGCCCTGCCAGGCAGGTGACTGGCACAGGCAGCAGCCCCAGCAAGCATAGCTTGCAGGGAACTGCGGTCCAGCCCCAAGCCTGGAATGGCTGTAACCTGTCCAGGACTCTCCCCAAGCGGAAAGCACACAATGCGGTGTCTGTTCCAGATGCCAGGAAGAGAGAAGTCTAGACACAAGCAGGCAGCTCAGCCAAGAAAACAAACTCTCAGCATTATCTGCCTCTCCACCAGCCACACGTTTCCTCCTCCTCCTCCTTCTCCCCCGAGCCCCTGGCAGAGATGTCCCACAGCAACCCTGTCCCTGCCAGGAGGAGGGACAGGGACACCCAGGGCTGTACTCACCGATGCAGTCACCCAAGGGGGTCCAGTGGAAGCCAGGCTGGCAGCCCATGATACAACGGTAGGAGCCCAGGCTGTTCTGGCACCTCCACGTGCCACAGATGGCATCCCCATATTCTTTACACTCATCCACATCTGCAGGGAGGAGGGCAAGTGGATGAGGATGGTCAGATGGGGACCCTGCTTGCTCACTACAGCACCTGGGTCAAGCTCAGTTGGCCGAAGGCCCTGAGCCATTGCTAGTCCTCCTTACAAGTCACCAGCAACTTTGGGTGCTGGGAGCAGAACCACCCTCACCCCTGCACTGGCTGCATCCATCCCCCCAAATCCCAGGTGGCTGGTCTCCCCAACGATGAGCTCTCACCCACGCAGTCATCAGTCTCCTGGGAGTGCTTGAACCCATTTTCACACAGACACCTGTAGGAGCCTTCTGTGTTCAGGCACTGGCCTTGAGAGCACCGGGACTTGTCTGTGCATTCATCCACATCTGCAAAATCAGGCCAAAATCATCAGCCTGGATCTCACAGCAAGGGAGGGAGAAGAGGGCAGGACCTGAGCTATGTCCCTGCCATCGTCCAGCTCACCTTGGCAGCTGACTCCGCCATCCGCATTCGAGAAGCCAGGAGCACAAATGCAGAAGTAGGATCCGTGACTGTTAAGACACTCGCCATTGGGGCTGCAGATCTCACTGTTCAGGCACTCGTTCACATCTGCAGAGGGAGAAGAGTCAGGGCCACGCACTCACCCAGCCCTGGGGGACATCCTTCTCCAAAGCCACATGGATTCCCTCTCCCCAGTCTCTTACAGGCAGCCCTCAAAGGGTGCCTGGCCCCTGGTTTTCTCGCCATGGAGACAGAGATCTTCCCTGTCCACAGTGATCCTGCATTTGGTTACAGCCTTATGATGTGCCATGCATGGTGGCATCATCTGCCTTGGCACTGGCATCCTCCCTGCTGAGAAAGAAGGGGGATCCATAGGGAGGCTGTATGGCCCAGAAGGCTGCAGGGATGGGGTTCGTACCTTCGCACATGGTGCCGTTGACGAGCTCAAAACCAGCCTGGCAGTGGCACTCGTAGGAGCCCAGGGTGTTCCTGCACTCTCCCCCCAGGCACCGAACATCATGGTCCTCACACTCATCCATATCTGCCAAGCAGAATGGCACAGCACAGAGTGAAGCCCCAGCTCTTGCCACCACTGGAGAAGATGCCCACCCAGAGAAGCTGTCACTCAGCTGTTGGCCTGAAAGGTGGGTTTGAGCTGTCCTCCCAGACCATCCCACGACAGTGAGATAAGGGCAGAGATTCGCTGTTACTGGGGTGTGAGGAGTCAACCCAGCCCCTTCACTGCCCTCCATTGTAGGGACCAGGATAAACTGGATCCCAGCACCAAGTCAGTGGTGCCCAGTGACAGGACCAGAGACAATGGGCACAAGCTGAAACACAGGAGGTTCCGTCTGAACATCAGAAAACACTTTTTTAGTGTGAGGGTTACAAAGCACTGGCACAGGTTGCCCAAAGACATTGTGGAGTCTCCCTCCTTGGAGATATTCAAAAGCCATCTGGACATGGTCCTGGGCAACCAGGTCTAGATGGCCCTGCTTGAGCAGGGCAGTTAGACAAGATGGTCTTCAGAGGCCCCTCCCAACTTCAGCCATTCTGTGATTCTGTGCACACAGGAATACTGCTAGCCCCAGTGTCCACCTCCAGCAGAGCTCTGCACTGGGTACCACAACCACCAAGAGGCCAGTGCAGAGCCATAGTTGCTGACAAACCCTCTCTTCAGCCATCCCTACAGGAGCAAACACCAGGAAAGTAACCCAGGACCAGACTTGCCTACAATGTCCATGTTCTGGCAAAGCTGGCTGGGGGCCTACTTCAGCTCTTACCCAGCTGCAGAGCTCCCCATAAACCGTCTCCTACGCAACTCCCCCAGGCCTTGTCCAGAGCCTGCTGGTACTCTGAGGATTTTGCTCAGAGCGGAGGAGTACCTTCCCTCTAACAGAGGGCTGCAAAATGCCAGCAGACTGCCGTTGCCTACAGGCCCATGAGGTAGGGGGAGCGTTGAAGGATGCTTCTAATCAGAAGGATGGGCTGATGTGCAGGCAGCAGAAGACATGCTAGTGAAGAAGGTCCTGCTCTACTCTTGTTCGCTGCCAGGACCTAAAGCCCTGAGACTGGCAGCTCCTGAGGGCAG